CCCCCGGGGTGCCTCGCGGTGGCGCGGCCGAGCTGCGGAGGGCCGGGCAAGATGCGCTATAGGGACCCCCCGCCTCCGAGCGCGCCTCTGTGCTCGCCTCCCTTCCGCCTCCCAAGCGGGGCTGCCCTTAACACCACCGGCCATCTCCGTTTCTCCGGATGGTCCCAGGGGAGCGGGCAGCGGCTTTGCTAACTGCCTCTCCTCCTCCGAAAAAGAAGACGTGCAACGTGCGGAGGGGGCGCTCTGGACTGAGGGGACGCGACCTGCGCCCCGGTCGCACCCTTTTCCTCCCCTCTTTTCCCAGCCAGGACCAGAAGATGCCGAGCCCTTGGCTCACCTGCTGAGTTTCTACTTCTTATGGTAAGATGGCATCGCGACATCCCTGGATAAGCCCCTTTATTCTTCTGGAACATTAGGGGATCTCCCAAGAGATGGTCCTCCAGGTAGATCGATTCCCACAATTCCTCTTGGCATGAACCTGCCAGATATCAAACCCAGCCATTGGAGGGTGCCAGGGTGAGAAAGCTGCATTATCTTTTAATTTTTCAACTCCACCCGGAAGGATCGGTCAGATAATTTTACTGGCTGATGGAAAGGAAGGGAAAGGGAAGGAGAGGAAAGGAAAGGTTAAGTTGCCCCTTTTGGGGAAAAATAGCAAAAAGGTGGGTTTTTACATAAAATAGGCATTTCTGCAACTCTTGAAAGATTTCCAGACTATCAAAACAAAACAAAAACCCTGCACTTTATTACAGTTTTGAAATGTGTATGTATAGGAGGCGTTTCATGAATATCAGGAGCTTTGGGTTTTCCTTTATTAAATCAATTACCCCTTCATTGCATCACATACAGTATGTAATTGAACTGAACATGGAAGTGGGAAAATAGAGGATCTCACATTTTGCCTGAAATGCTGAGATGATAGAACATATGTTCATATCAGAACAAATATTTGCTGCTCTTTCTAGCATTTTTGGAGTGTGTATGTATGCATGTGTGCACCCACACACAAGCCATTGTATGTACTGGCAATAAATAGAGACTTGCTCAGTCATATGATGGCTAGAACAGTTTAGAAGTCGGAGACTCCCAGTCCTACCCTTACCTACCAATGGCTAACCTCTCTCTTGGCTGTGTTCACATGACACAGTGAACCACAAATCAGTGAGCTGTATTTTAGCCCAGTGTGCTGGTTTATCCCAATCTTTGTGGCTAGGTTATGAATCAGAAGTTTCTGTGCATTTCAGGGCTTTCTAAGTGCAGTATTAGTCTTGAAGGATGGCAAGATCTCAAAATGTGGAATCTGGTGTCATATTTTCTTTCTGAACTGAACCTTGCTTCAAATTACTGCTTGTAGATCGTGCATCTGGAAACAAGGCACCTCCTATATCACTCAACAGCTACTTCTATGCACATCCTCAAAATCATTCCAGCCCAAAGTTTGAGTTTCATGAGAAGTCAGGCTGGCTTTGTAGTTCAGTTGTTAGAAATGCCCAGGCATCTGATGACTAAAAATTCTTCTCCGTGGCTTCAACAATATACCAAGTCAGATACTCTTTTCATTCTGCATCAATGTTCCTGACAGATGCTTCTTAATTAGTTCTCTGTTCTAAAACACTGGAGTGAGATGAAGCACTCTGATGTTGACTTCTGGGAACAAGGAGAACCATTGAGAAATTGCTTTGATTTGGGGGATTAAAGATCTGCCTCCTTCTTCAAATCAGCTTCCATCTGCCTGGAGCTCCCATCTCCGGAGCCATATAGGAATATTTAATGCGGTAGCAAGCTTGCTACTAATGTGCCGACACCAAAGGCAGTCACCAAGGGCCTGGAGCTTCCTTGGCTTATGAGGAACACAGAGCAATGAAACTGGGGGACAGCCACAGCATGGATGGTGGAGGAATTGCTATGAATAGACTGAGCACTGATGAGAGTACATTATCTCACCTATCACATGCAATTATGGATGCAAAGAGGATGCGTTTCACCTCTGCTGTTGCATCCACAATGAACTCCCCAATCAGACTATTCTGGGCAAGTAGGGATCTGGCTGGTGTCACTGCAACAGATTAGCCGTGTCCCAGGTTGGAGAAGCAATACGATGGGTTTGCAATGCACTTTATGAACAAAATCAGTCAGGTCACTAAGTGGGATGCCAACATTCAAGTCTGCACACACCATCTGAAATTGATACCAGCTGCAGGAAATGGGCAAGGGTCTTGCAAGTATTCGCTGACCACCTGCCCTCTTGATTTTCATCCTTAAAAGAAGCTGGCTAGGAAAGGGAGTTGAGAGGGAAATGCCTTTTTAAGGGAGGGACTGGTGCCATCAGATGTCAAGATATTGGACAATCAGCTCCTGGGGAAGATCTTTTTGGGCCTGTTATCAAACTCCAGTCTCATCACTAACCTCCTTTTTGGGGACAAGATTTTTGAGTGACGTAGATGGATTCAACTGCTGGATGAAACCGATTTTTGGGGATCTGTTACAGTCTAGTTTTAAACTTCAGCACAGAAATTGCTTTGGTTTTGCTAGTAGGTGCCCCTTTACAAGAGAGAGGGGTGAGGATACCACCCTATTGCTCTTCATGAACTCTCTGCAGCTTTTGATACTGTGAGTTGTAGTATCGTATTGGGCCGGCCCTGTAAGCTGGGAACTGGGACATTCCTATCTGTGGGCTTGTTCCCCAAAAGTAGTGCTGGAGGATGGCTTTCTAGCTGAGGTTGGAGGTTCCACAGGGCTTAATTTTGACCCTAATGCTGTGTAATATCTAAATGAAGCTGCTGGGAAAGGCCATCTGGACATTTGGAGTGAGATGTCATTAGTATGCAGATAACACTCAGCTCTCTGCTCTCTGCTTTTCATCTGAATTTCATCTGCTGGATCGGCCTTGCAGGCTGTGAAGCATTGGATGAGGGCCAGTAAGCTGAGGCTGAATCCCAGGAAGATGGAAACTCTGGCTGGCAAATGTTGAATGCAGGAATTGCTGGATGGGGTGGACTTTCCCTGAAGGACCAAGTGCAGATTTGAAGATCTTCCTGGAAGCCAAATTGTCACTGGAGGTGCATATGATCTCAGTGACCTGGAACACCTTTGAAAAGCTTTAGCTGGGAAATCAGTTCCAGCCATTTCTGAAAGGAGATGGCTTGATCTCAACAGGCTGCGTGCTGGTGGCCTGACTAAATTAATGTGTTCTGTGTGGAGCTGTGCTTGAAGATGGTCCAAATCATGCAGGGCAGGCAGACTGCATTCAAAGGAGATGGTCTTGAAGATATTTGGAGCCAAACCATGCATGGCTTCATAGATTAACCCCAGCGCTTGGAATTGCATTTGGAATCCTTGTGGGAGCTGATGCAGGTTGGACCACTGGCCTCTGTGCCAGCTGCAGTTGCTGATACTTTTCATAGTGACCCCATATATGGTGCACTGCAGCTGTCCAATCCAGAGGTGATAAGAGTGAATTACTGTTGCCAAGGCCTCCCCATTCTGAGAAGAGTTAGAAGTCACGCTACCCCAGCATCTACACAATTCCCTCAGTAAGAATTAGAATTAGATTGAAGTGTTGCAGTAATCAAAATCAGATTTACACAAGATTGGACATAGCTGAATAAGGACCTATTTTTTTGATGCTAGCTAGTGAGTATTATATTGCTGTCATCAATAAGAACAGCTCAGTGCACTGTATTCCTGGATAATAGCTAAGACCTACTGGCCGGCCACAAGTGAACTGGATTACAGATCCCATTACGCCAAGATCTACCAAACTGCATATTTGTTTGGCATGATGCATAAATCCAGCCACTATGGCAGGTCAGCCATGGTTTGTGGCTTAGTGTGTTGAGTGAACCTAGCCTATGATGCTATATTCAATAAACCATAGTTAAGCAAACATTTGGCTGGTATGATACATGAACTCTGGATTGCTTCTTGTGATGATGAAGACCTGCACAATAACTCAGAGCTTTTTCTGGTTTCTTCACTGGCCTGGTTAAATCTGGGATTCTTAAGCCAAGGCCAAGGTCTCCCCACCTCACTTAATCCTGCATTACAGCTGGCAAAAGGCCTTACTTGGGAAAATGGAGGGCTCTCCATTCAGAGTCCCTCCAGTCAGTCACTCAGGCTCTAGTCATCTCTCTTATAGACTACTGCAATGCGCTCTACATGGGGCTACCCTTGAAAAGTATCTGGAAGCTTCAGCTGGTTCAAAATGCAGCTGCGTGGGCAATTTTAGGGGCCCCAAGGATGGCACATGTAACACCTTTGCTATGTGAGCTGCATTGGGTCCCAGTTTGCTTCTAGGTCCAATTCAAGGTGTTGGTTATCACCTTTAAAGATCTACATGGCATGGGACCGGCTTACCTGAGGGACCATCTCACCCCCATTATATCCACCCGTCCCACCTGGTCAGGCAGGGAGGGTATGCTGCGGACCCCGTCGATGAAAGAATGTCGACTGGTGGGGTCCAGAAGGAGAGCCTTCTCTGCTGTGGCCCCCACCCTATGGAATACTCTCCCCCCAGAGGTGAGGCAGGCCCCAACTCTCTTGTCCTGGAAAGCAGTCAAGACCTGGCTCTGCCAACTGGCATGGGGCGAGAAAAAGGGCAACCAACCTGGGGGTGGCTAGCACCTTGAAGACGCTCCCATATGTTAACATCTTACTGACCATCAGCATCTTGGAAGATATTATTTGTGTATGTGTTTGGTTTTTATTCTATTTTTATTGTATTTTATATTTTTATGGTGTTTTAATATTTATTGCTGTTTTATTGTGAACTGCCAGAGTCACTTTTTGTGAGATGGGTAGTATCTAAATTTGAAATATAAACAAGCAAAGAAACAAATAAATTCCCCACTGCCAAGGACAGCGGAAGGCTGCTCTGTTTATGTGTTACAAGAATCAAGAGACCCTCAGGACTGTAACCAGAGTAGTCTGCATTTTAAAAGAAGCCCAAGTCCCACAAATAAAATAGCAAATGATTAAAATTAAAGCTCTAACATGACCGAATAGGCAGGGACTGGATTTATACAGTGAACTAAACTGTAATCATGGCTAGATAGCTAAACCACAGTGCCCTAAGCAAACTGTAGTGTGAACCAGGCCTATACTTAAATGCGAAGCCTGCTGCAACTTTGGAAGAATTCGGTGACGGGCTATAGCTGAAATAGCAATTCCAGTTTTCCTAGTCAAAAGGTGCATAGATGAGAGGTTTGGGAAAGATTCTTGTCCAAGATGCTGAAGAACAAGCATCACCTTTTCAGTCAACCCCCTTTCCAAACCCTGCAGCAGTAATTACAGCTTTCATTAACAAAATAGCAAGAAATAATTATAATTACTGGGAATGCTAATTCAGGGCATACCACTTTGTTGTCTGAAACTATTTTTGGTTCTGGGGTGTTACCATTGCAAGGAACCAAAGATGAGAAAAAAGGGTGTCCTTCACTCACTCACTCACTCACTCACTCACTCACTCACTCACTCACTCACTCGTTCGTTGGTTCATTCATTCATTCATTCATTCATTCATTCATTCATTCATTCATTCATTCATTCATCCTTGTTAGATCTTTGGTTATTACACTTTACATACCTGGATTCACACAATATGCTAAATAGATGTTTAGAAAACACAACTGCTATCTTCACGTAATATGCTGTATCTAAACAAATAAAGAAACACAGCTTAATATGATGAGAAAGATTCGACTATTAAATGTTTAAAGCTTGTTAATACAGTTGCTTTGAATTTTACAGCAGGAATACCCCAACCTGGATTTATAATTTTTAATAAATGTAATTCTATATTGCAGAAGCAACAGGTGAGACGTTGGAGAGGAGGGACAGTATAAAAGAGATGCAACTGAACTTTTTAGTGTTGGTAGCATTAGAATGAAGCACAAAATGAATTTCTGGTCTACTAGGTAAAAATTTAGACACATTTTAGAATGGTTTAAAAGGGTGAAAGGCCAATATGTATGTGTGTATGTATATATGTATGTGTGTGTATGTTTGTTTGTTTGTTTATTTATTTATTTATTTCAGTACCACTGTGATTTTCTTGTAAAATGGATTTCTGAGTAGGCTGAACCTGTTTTTCCAGATTGTGATCCAGAGACAAGTGATATCTTCCCCAGAAGTCTGGTATCCTAAAGATGTGCTTGATTGCTGTTCCCAAATCCAATGGCTATGAAGACCAGGATGATGGTGTTACAGTCTAATCTATCTAGAGAGATCCAGACTGGGAAAGGTTACATAAAATGGAGGAAGCAGGAGCAATTTACAACAAATGCAATTCTTGGTTGCAGTATTGGAATTGAGAAAACCAGACGGGGCAAAATGCTGCTAAAACCTCAGAGTAAAGGGTTGAGAAGGCTTGCTTGTTAGATGTAAATTGAATTCTAATGTAAATCAATCCCTTTATACAATAATAGAGCAGATGCACTAACAGACACATTTTCTCTCATGGTATTTCATGCTGCAATTGTACACTCACTTTCAAGGGGTGAGACGCAATGAACCGAATAGAACGTCTGATGCCTGTCAGTGCCTGAAAGCAATCTTTGGAGACACGTCTTTTAGGATCCTCACATCCTTCTGAAGCCTAATGAGGGGCTGCTATACAGAAGACATGTTTGGTGGTACTTCCAGGGAAATTAGCCGGCACAGGTTCCCCCGCCCCCCCGCCCAGCAACATCTTAGGGCTTTTTATTTTCTTTACTTTTTAAATCTTTGCAAAATGAAATAAATCTAATCTTAATTTAAGAGGAAGCACTCTAGTGCCAGTCAGATCTTTGGGATGTCCATTCAGAGCTTTGCAGTAAGGAATCATGGAAATTGTGGCACACAGCATGAAAACTTCTGTTTTAACCTTTTCTAGTTTTAGGCTTTTTACTGCCTTCTGTCTGGATGACAGCAACTTTGAATTTTGTTTTATCATATTGGTTTCAATATTCCTTTCTGCATTTTTATCATATTACCTTTATAGATATTTTAGTTTTCTTTTAATTACAACACTGGATTTGATTTTATAGGGGTCTGAAAAATACAAGGCAAAAGTAATGAACAGGCATCTATTCCACCCAGATTTTATGGATATCCCCCTCCCACCATTCAGAATATTTCAGATGCAACAGATAAAAGAGTATTCAGTTGGGTTCTCCAAACTCTGGGCTTGCCCGTTTGGCAAAATCAATTTGAATGGCGCTACACAAATGACAGAATTTACAGATATTACATGAATTCAGATTTAATGGATGTTTGCCTTTAACAGATTCACCTCATTGCACTGCTTTAGTTCTGCCAACTTATTCTAGAGGCTGATGGAAAGTTGAGATGATAGTTCACATCTGTTCCAGATTATCACTTTTTTTCTTCTTTTGCTGGGGCTCCTGTGTTACCACATAGGCTAAAATCATTAGGGCATATATTAACCACAATATATCTTCAAATGTAATCAGCATGATTTCTGTAGATCCCCGTTACTGAGCACTCTGTAAAGAAGGATCTTGGTAACATGTATGTACTGTAGGTTCACAGGCCATCATGGCTGGATGGAATTCATGATAGCAGTCCATGACTTGTTTAACCATTCTTTATTGAAGAAGCACAATGGGCTGAGTCTGCACAACGCACTAAGCCAGAAATCATGGTTTCCAAATCAGAGTGGGTAAGTTCATATGACACATTTTGCTCTAAATCTGATGGTGCAAATGGTTGGATTCTCACAGTATGCTAAGCCAGATTCTCCAAAACACACATTATGACATGGTGAGTGGTGGAAACCCAGTTCATGAGTTAACCAATTATTAACAATAGATCAGAATGGATAATTTAGAAATTATGAATTTGGACTAAAAAACAAAACAAGATAAACAACATTCTTATATAAATGATTTAGAGCAGCTCTCCTTCTAGGTGTTCAAGAATATTTATTTCTAAAACGTTTAAGTGTTGAAAGACTATTTAAGATCTAACTATTTTAACAGTACTTTTTAAAGGAAAAAAATGGTGTGGAGAGAAGCTTTTGCCTGGACAAAAAAACAACAACAACTGAAAAGAGTAATAAAGATGTTCCTTCAAACCAGACTTCCACCTTCCGTCCCATCTCTGGGCCCAGACAGAATTTACATATCCGAGAAGGGAACTGATATTAACACTTATCGCTACAGACTAGTTGCCTCCTTAAAGGATGAAGAGATTTCAACTTCATGTATGGTCTGGAAAGGATATCTGCCAACTTTTGCTGATAAAGTTTTTCTTCTTCCTGTGCCAGGGCGTATTCACGGCGCTGCTCTTCCTTCTCCATCTCACGGACTTCCTTGAGGTGATCCATCTGAGCGTGGAGTTCTTCCCGATATTGTTTTGCTTGCTGCAAACGCCTGCAAGGAACACAATCAAATCTGGCCCATATCCACAGGGGAAAGACCTTCAGCACTCTGCATGCTTAACGCTGGAGGTTCGAAGGCCAAGGGTTGGTTTCACAGACACCTTTCCTCTGAAGGAGTTTTCCCTAATCTGGTGCCCTCCAAAGTGTCTGGAGCCCAACTGCTTTCTCCTCCAGAAGCACAGCCAGATACCGTACTGGCTTCTATTCCAACACATTGTGAGAGCACATGGGCATCCAATAGAAATGACACCCTGTCACACCCTGTCATGGCATCTTGTGCATGATGATGCATATGACATCACGTGCCTCTCCCTGTAGGTGCCCATGGGAAGGTACTAGGAAAGGCTCCCTGTCCAAGAAGAGTTGGTCCTGTTGACAGGGCCATGAACAATTACCTTGTGTAGGTCTCATGTTCTAGGTGGTGGTACTCCTGAAGGGCTGCACTCAATAATTCCCTGTCTCGAAGAAGGTCTTCTTGGTCCTTGGCATTTCTCTGCACTGAGAAATCGAAAATGGCACAAGTCATTGGCTAATGTCAAAACATAACACAGGGTCTGTTGGACGGCCATTCTCAGTAGTTCCACCCGCTTTCTTAATGCAATTTTGATCATGACAAGGTTTAGCTTTATATCATAATGTTCCCATGTAGAGCGTGGAATTATGCATACATAGATCTCCCTCCATGTTAACCCTGTAACAATCCTAAGTTAGGCTAAGAGATCCAGCATTAGTATTGGACCAATGCAATGGCTAACCCAAATTTCTTTCGTTCTAGTGTCACATCTTTAACTTACACACATGGGCTTTGGGAGCATTTCCCCGTACAATGCAGCTTTCCCCAAATTGGTGACATTCATATGTAAAAAGCGAGTCTCTAGTCCTCCTGACTGACTGGGCTTGGATGAGTGAGTGTACAGAGCTTTAAAGTGTACAGAGCAATGATTAGAGACCTAGTGTGCTGTGGTGGTTAAGATGCTGGACTAGAGAAATCCAGGTTCAATCCATCCTCAGCCATAGAAACTCACTTAATGACTTTGAGCCAGTCACTTTCAGGCCAATGTCTTCTACAGGACTGTTAGGGCAATAAAAGGGAGATCCCCATGTAAGGGGGCTCCTGCAGTTCCTGAAGGAAAAATGGATGATAAATTTAATAAATAAATAACATCTGGTTATTTATTTATTGGAATAAATTGGAAGCCCTGACAAGATCAGAACATAGAAGGAAACGTTTTCCTAACCTTGGGTGAACTTGCAGTAACTTCACATCATTCCTTCACCCTGCCCATTAACTGATTAAAACAAAACTCATCACGTATAATATAGAAATGCGGCTAATTTGAAGATCTGCAAGAAAGTTGCATGGTTTCTCATAGAACCATCTTTCCTTGGTATACAGAATATTGACCTTGTTCCCAAAAATAAGCTGCTTGGAGGTCCACCTCCAGTGTCACCACCCTGCTATTCCAAATGGTGGTAAGTTGGAGAGAAACTGGACTTGGGGAGAACCAACAGTCCCCAATAGTTCCTTACATTTCTCCTCAATCTGAAGCTTCCTTGTGTCCATGACCTCTTTGAGTAACCGATCTCTGGCTTGTCTCATGGCCCTTTCCTTCTCAGCCCTCTTGGCCCACATTTTTGCGGTGTCCTCAGCCCGCAACTTTTCCAGCTCCTTTTCCTGTTGTTTTTCCTCTTCTCTCTGCTGAGCCAGGTAGGCCTGATATACCTGCTGCTCTTTTAAGAGTTTCCTCTGAAAAATGCAAACAAGGGAGAGATTAAAAAGAGAGAGAGAGAGAGAAGAAACCTTATGGCAGAACCTCTAGTTCTATGAATTGCTGATACCATCCCCACTGAAAACCTACAAGTTCTGGAACTCTGATATTTTTTTTTCCATCCCCTTCTTCCTTTACTTTTTATCCTCTTAGTCTTCCATATCTGATAACTGGCAAGCTGAAATATGTTTTCCTACAGCTGCATAACTTCAGGAGCTAAGGAGATTAGCTTAGGCTACCATTCACCCTCCTTAGAGGTACTTGACTGCTTACTCATTTTTATTTCTGGGATCTGGCCCATTGTGGCTTAGTTCATATGTTGCACTAACCCATGATTCTGTGGTTTGCTGAAGAAACTAAAATTATTGGTTTCTATCTAGCAATTGGCTTTGCTTGGATTATGAAGTTAAGCAAGCTTGGATAGGAGGCCCCAAGGAAATCCCAGGGCTGTAGACTAGTCCGAGAAGCTGAAGAACCATGGAAAAATGGCAGGGGCAAGCCACTTTTGTACTGCTGTCAAGAACCTAAGGACTTAAGCTAAAGAAGATTATATTTTTTCCCACATTATGCTAAGGGATAAACCAAGATTTATAAACCACAATTCCTGGGTTCACATTTCAGAAACCACACTATGACTTAGCTTAATGCGTGAACTGAGCTGCTAGGACTCTGTAAAGAAACCAATGGGTGAATAGTCCTCCTGATAAGATAAGATAAAAGATAAGATAAGATGCTTTTCTGAACATTTTATTTCAAAGATATGTATTTCAAATATCACTGTTGGAGATCTGAGCATGTGAGTAGTCAGGAAATACAGCCTGGGGTCCTGGAAGATAGCTAATTAAAAAAAAATCAGCTCATTACGGAAAGATATTAAAATATGCCAACAGGCTACTGAGGTGGCTAGGAAAAGGATTAACGACAAATTGACAAGAACAGCATGCATTTAGAGTTCAGCCATGTTTAGAGTATGATTATCCCATCTTAAACTGAAAAAATGCATTAGAATGATTAAGAATCATCTATTCAAGGAGACGCTGAAGCGCTTGGGGTATCTGAGTTAAGAAAAAGTTAACTAATGGGCAAAGAGGTTAGGACAGACGTAATACACATGGTATGGAGAATTTGGGGTGGAAGCAGAGAGAGAAATCCTTCTTCCACCTTCTCGAGACAACAACTAATGCAGAACAGAACGTACATGATAATTCAATGCACACAACACCTTATGGCAGTGTTGTCCAAACTTGGCCACTTTAAGATGAGTGGACTTCAACTCCCAGAATTCCCCAGCCAGCATGGTTGAAGTCCACTCATCTTAAAGTGGCCAAGTTTGGACAACATTGCCTTATGGGATTCCTACCATGGCCACTGGCTTCAGTGGACCAAAGAGAAAATTAGACCAATCGATGGAAGACTGATATTAGCTATACAGTATGCATAATCCTCCATATATAGGAGCAGTGTATCTCTGTAGGCCAGAAGCTGGAGCATACAAAGGAAAAGGGCTTCATGCCTTTCTTACTGGTGTCCCAGAAATACTTCTAGTGATTGCTGGAACCATAATGCTTTGAAGGTGGATTCTTGATGGCCTGATACAGTAGCAGTTCTGGGTTTTGTTCTTACAATACTTTCCAAGTCTGGGCCTCATTCACTCCACCATGTAGAATAGGAATGGGAACTGTGTATTTCCAGATCTGGAATCCCAGTGACCTCTTCAGAGAGTTTCCCCCAAATGGACCATCATTTACTGGTTCATGAAAACTCCTTACCTTATTGGACACTCTCCATATTTAATAACTTTGCCCATTTAAAAGCTCAATTAAGGTTTTTCTTGTTTTTGGTGAGCTGTGAATGTCCAAGCACAACAGAGACCAGCTGTTCCCTGCTGCTAAAATAATGTTGCTGAGCCAAATCAGAGATCTTCAATGCCCATTTTTTAGTTTGTTTCAAGCATCATCCTCATACTCACAGAATTCCAAAAGCAAGATTATGAAATAAGGAAACAGCATTTAATTTGCCACCTTTGCTTGTGAACCCAGATTTCCTTGGAAGCTCATCAGTTACAAGATCAGTAATATAAGAGAAGCCGTGCCAAAATTAGCTTATCCACTGTGACTTATTTCACTTACAAGTCTGTACTGGTTATATTCACCATTTACACAAAGCTGCAATTCAATCAAACCAGCTTAATTCCTGTGGAAGAAATTTGGTGGTTGACGTGAAAGATTCAGTGTTGCTTTAGGTCAAGGTGCCTGAAAACCACTGGAATGGCCTATCTCCACATGGTAGCTTAGCGCATGTTCCCCGTGAGGCCTATTTTTATGGAACTGCCCGGGCTCTTTTGTAGAATATCATAATCAAACCAAGCTTTCACAACAGCACTGCCATCTTTATACAGAAAAAGGCCTTGAGGAAGGAAAGATGGAATAACTACACAATTTGAAGGAGCATTCCATCTGGAAGAAGGTAACATGTATGGGTTCAACATACTTTCCATCAGTTTTTTTTTCCCAGATACATGTTTGTATAATGCGACAAGCTTCAAAGCTTCAAGTGCAAACCTGCAACTTAGTGGTGGTGTAGCTCCCACAGCATAAATCACTCTTCCAATTGTGCTAAAGGGTCATATGGAAACGGGATACATATAAAAAAATCCCTTCTCACCCCTATGGGTGGTACGTGTCTTCCTCAATCTTGGGTCCTCTACCAGAGGCCTGGGAGTTTGAGGGTTCTGCGCAGGATCTGAGCTGTTCCTAGCACTGCAC